CTGGTAAGGCCGCCGAAGCCCTGCCTGGCATCCTGGGTAGCATCGTCTCGTGGTTGCTGAGTGTTTTAGCTAAAACTGCTCGTGGCTCAGTCAAAACCTGTGGGCAGCCATCGTCGCGGTAGCTGGTTTGGTGTGCGTGGCGGCTAAGGAATTTTTAACCAAATGAGCCCCAAAGCCACCCCACCAACCACCATGGCTGTTTTACGATCGATGTGCTGTGAACCCACAGTGGGTGCAGACTGGGGCTGTAGGTGTGTGTGTTGAACCCTAGGTTCGGGGATGGCGCCACTATACCCGTTTCACCGGTCGTGGGTGGTGGGGCGTGGGGACGTTGACATCTAGGTTGGCGCAACTTTTGGTCCGCCCGTGGCTACAATTATTTCGTTGTTGTAGCCCACCACTTTTTATTCTCAGTTGCATATAAACTTCGGGCCATGTACAGTCCCGCGTCGAACCGTAGTCGACTTTCGACCTGGCGTATTCCAACACGTCTTGGTAGCGTTTGATGGCACTTTCGGAGATCAACTGGAGCATTGATAGCATCCTCTACGTTGACAACGAATTGTTTCTGTCGTCGTAAGCAGTCCCTTTACCTAGGATATTTGAGCGGCGTTTGCGTCTGCGCGCAACAGTGCCCACCGCGTGCGTTCGAATCGAGTCATTCAAGCGTTCGGTGCGGCACGAGTATACCCTTTTCGATTCCAACATGAATTTTTTCCAATCACCACCCTGCTCGAACCTCAAACTTCGATAATCCTTACTGTCGTCGAATGCCATGTAGCGGTCATCCCACTCGTTGGTTGTGATATGATGATATGCACTTGTATCCCCAATCTTTCAACTTCTGCTGCTGGCTTCCACGAGAGGCATGTTGTGAACAATAGGAATACCCAATCCGTGGTTCGGTCCGGCAAGCGCCAATCCGTTTTAGTATCGATTCGAATTAGATTTGCAAATCGTTAAGTAGGCCCGTCTATCGTATTGGTTGTTTACTGCATTCCACGCTTTTTCCTGTGAGGCCCGAGCTGATCTCTTTGAGGATCGCCTGACCTGGTAGTACCGTGAAACGTGAACACAGACTGACTCAGCGGTCCACGCCTAGTGTCGGATACACCACACCCGTTGTAGCGCACCACCGCGGCGAAGTTGAGTTGATTCTGCCAGAACTGCATCGGGTTGTTGAACCAAGCGTGCACTGTCTTAACGTTAGTCACGAAAACTTATACTTATCGAACACATCTATGAACTGGGCGTCGAAATACAATCCATCAGCGACCACGATCTTCATGTTTTAAAACTATTATATAATGAGTTTATATAACATGTACATAACACTTCCAGGAATAGCGGCGGCGAGGCCGTTCAGCTGGCACCTTGCGATCGATAACACGTCGGGTCAACTTCGAAATAGCACTGTCGCGATATAACCTACCTACCACGATGGACTAACATCAGCGCTAACAACAATAAACTGTTAAGTAGGTGGCGCTAGCAACAAGATAATTGGCGGTTACTACAGCGTGTGCTCTCTAGCGGCGAGGTATTCAAACCATTGGGAGCGAACTCAAGATGAGCGACTCAAAGCGGTACAGTGGTGTTAATCAACAACGGAAGAAACTCCTCTGCGGCTAGATTCGACCATTGGCTAGAACACTCGGTATGCCGCCTGAAGAGGTAAAACCAACGACTACAGTCACAGGCACTAAGTTACCCGACTTAGTACCGTGCGAGAGCTGTGCATTCATCTCAACCAGGTTAGCACAGCGGACAATATTCAAGGAGGTCACCCTTCCACTATACTTAGAGCAGTGCGGTTAAAGCGGAGAAATACAACGGCGGCAGAACCGAGTGGTTTTTCAACGCGTGGCAATATAAGAGGTTAACCCAGGGCAACATCCCTGAGCTGATAATATCGGTGTTAGATATAAATCATAATCTGCGTGAATATAGGATACCTCAGCGTAGCGCTGCACATAAAATGACCAGCGCACAAGGTCCGGAATGAAGTTGAAAAAATGCATCAATGTGGGGATCTCCGATCTCGAGGGACACCGCGGATTCGACGACCCGGGTAGATGGTAAAGTGTAATGCGCCTTGCAACTTAAAACAGCATTTATAAACGCGTTGAAGTTTCCAGTGGTACTAGCAACCTAAGCGATATAGTAGATACCTCAAGAGCGGCAGTCAACACTAAGTACACCCTTGTCACCACGGGGATGATAACTGGATGATATACCCATCACGGGGGCAAACTGTTCGACTTAACCGATGTTGAGAGCACTACCGTCGCCCGAAACAAGCCATATATCGCTTCGTTTTCACCGATGATGACAAGTGGGTGTTATTACGGGTAAAGTCGACTGGTTTCTCAATATTAGACTTCGGCTCCCCTACGTGTTTCACGGATAACAAAGACAACCACCTAAACAAAGTTAAGTGAACAACGGAACCCTGCTTTCGTGGCTTACATCCCGACTCAGAGGCGTGGCGTAGTCATCAGCCCACTTTCGCCAGTATGGCAGCCCACATGCTATCGAGTAAAGCGGGGATGCAAAGCGTGGTATTGCAGTTGGTGTCTGAATTGAAGGTGTGGTCAGGATCCTGGAGAGTCTACCGGCGAACTCAACACTGGTCATCCAAGTCTACCTAGGGAACCATCGCGGAATGATGTAGAGATCGTGAAGGGGTCAAACTCGGTGGGGAAACAACAACAGTATCACGTTTACTAGCGTTTACGTGCGGGTGGGTGTCGACTCAAAACCAGTCTGCAGGGTGTCACCGTGGTCGTGGAAGACACTATATCACTAACCAAGATATTCCTACCGACAACATACACTTCATGGGGGTGAAGTGCACCCTGAACTATTATCAGAAAACCAGTTGGAAATTATCTCGTAATAATATAGCAATGTCTTGGATTAAGCCCCAACACTACGATTAACGACTTAGGGGACACGGAGGGATTCGATCAGCCTGGTGAGGAAGACACCTTATACATCCTGCACTTGAAAGACAACGTGTATAGGCGGGTGTCGTTATCAGATTTTAAAGAGCCTGAATGGTTAGTCAACTTAACCCTCACCTCACCTTATATCTCCCTGAAACAAAAGAATACTATCTCGAGATTAGGAACAACGGTATGATTATAGGATCGTTCGTTCGAATCTAGTGTACAAGTCATACCAATACCAGACCACTTTCGGGCAACATGTTAGCTTCAGACAGTGGGAGGGTAAAGATAGAGATCAAATTACTTTCGATTACCAAGAGGTTTTAGAAATGTTGCGGAAAACTTCACATTCATCATAGGCGTCTATCTCGGAGATATAAGTTTGACTAGTAGTTATATTAGCATTATAGATGATATGGTGATAGGTTGGGAAGCCAGGTGTAATAACCAACGTTGTTGTATTATTAAGGTATCAGGAAGCGACCCTGTACCAACCCTTGATGGGGTTCGTCTCTTTAATGGGCGTGAGAGCTAAGACCCGCTTTTTTACATACGTTAATCTAAGTATTATCGGCTTTAAGTACATTAATCGAAGGTTAAATGAAACCCAATTAAAATATATTATGGGATTGAGCTATATCCCTGAATTAGTACCAGAACACTAGTTGGAAATTATATCGTAATAGTATTATAGAAATGTCTTGGCTTCACCCCAACACTAAACTTAGCGATCTAGGGGACCGCGGAGGGATTTGATAAGCCTGGTCATAAAACACCTCATCGTCCTATTATTTAACAACGGTGTGTACATCTGGCAGGACCTGGCAGTCTTTAAAGAACCTAAATGGGTGATCAACGTGACCACCACCGCACCTTATATCTCACTAGACAAAGATGGTTATGTCTCTGAAATTAGGAACAACGGTACCTTGCTCACGTCTTTCATTCCAACTGAAAGGATGATAGTTTCTAACTCTGAATATTGGCCTAGGGACACCCTGTTAATTTCAGCCAGGAAGTCTCAGTTAATAGCCACCCACCACCATCATTCCATAATAGGGGTTAGGGGTATGGAAACAAACTCCACACTCATCGTAGAAGTCGGTTACAAGGATAAGTTTGATTTGGATGACCTTGACCCATCCCAAACTTGGAACTTTTACCTGGTGTAACAATACGTTGGGGTAGCGACCCCTTAACATCAGGTTTTTATCTTGCATATTAAATGATGATACGATTGGGGACTCCCAACAGGGATTACTACCCCCCATAATAAACTGCAATGATGTTGAGATAGACCAAAAGTTACCTATTGACCCTTCCCGTATCTACACATATGAGAATCTAAGTTTTATAAGCCTCAGGTACGTTGGCCAACTATTAAGTGATGCCCAATTAAAATATCTTTTGTAATATATATTATAGGATGGGACTGTATCCAGGCATAGATGAAGTAGTAAAGACCCTGGAAACCGTAAAGCGGGTTTAAAGCTTGAGACAATTATGTGATGTAAGGCGCCAACTAGAACAAGATCGTGATAAGCGGAAAGCACTGTGTAAGAAGTACCATAGAGCTTTCAACATCGTGGATGGGGCCGATACTACCCTGATGGCAACTAGCATGGGACTAGGGGTGGCAGGTGTTGGGTTGCTGACAACCATCGTGGCCGCACCCATAGTGTTGGGTATTGAAATAACGGCTGGGGTGTCAGGGTTGGCTGGATTGGTATTTAAATTTGTTTCTCGCAGACTGCAACGTAAGGCATTGAAGCATGATGAGATCAGAGTTCTGGCTGAAGCAAAGCTTAACACAATAGATGATCATATTTCCACGGCACTCACTGATAACAAAATCTCGGAGGAGGAGTTTCGTTTAGTCCTCTCTGAACTCGCAAAATATCATAGAATGAAACAAGAAATCCGGTCCAAGTCTCGTAAAAGTACTACTATCAGCGAAGACGAGAAAAAAAAGTACATAGAACAGGGGGTACGAAAAGCCCAGCAAGCTTTCATTACCAACACCAAAGAGATCCTAGGCGATTCACGTTAAACTGTTTCGTCGAGGTCAACGTGACATAGCGGCATGTTGACATAGATAAAACGAACTACTTGATGGATGGTCCCGGCAGAGGGTTTGTGAGAGAAGAATTATTGATTGTACCGTATGGCACAATGCTACCTCCTACCAACACGACATAGAGGTAAGATACCAACGTCCGCTATAGTAGCGTCCCCGACTAAAGTCTTATTTTATGAAATAAAGCTTTATAGTAGATGGTAATGGGAAGGGTCTGACTAAGGCTTCATCTATTAAATGAAGCTTTAGATTACCCTGATCCCGTACCACCATCCTGTCTACTACTACAACGAGGATGACCAGCATTAAAGTTTTCCTTGCACAATTTCAAAGGCTGAGTAACCACGGTAACTTAATGATAACTAGGTTTTTTTTTATTCTTTTACATTGGTCCAATATATGAGGCTGTATACATAACAAACCCACCTGGTCCACATGGGTCATCTGCCGTTATTTTCCAACAGCATCTTATTCCTCCATCAGTGCGATGCTTTTGGCCTGCTTTACATTCAGCGTGAACCTTGTTCTGAAGAAGTATTGGATGCAGAGATGAGAAATCAGGATGACTTGAATGAAATAAGAACTGTACATTTGGAATAACACAGTAAGCACCACACATATATTTATATATCAGTATACATGTTCTCCCACGATGCAGAATTATAGTACTGATCAGACTGAGAAATATGTAGTGAGTGAGTTTGGTTTTACGCCACTTTTAGCAATATTCCAGCAAAGGTGCCATCTTTATTCCATCGAGGTGCAATGCTGCTCAGAAACCAAGTCAACAATCCATCGAGGTACAATGCTGCTCAGAAACCAAGTCAACAATCCATCGAGGTGCAATGCTGCTCAGAAACCAAGTCAACAATCCATCGAGGTACAATGCTGCTTAGAAACCAAGTCAACAATCCATCGAGGTACAATGCTGCTTAGAAACAAGTCAACAATCCATCGAGATACAATGCTGCTCAGAAACCAAGTCGCCAAGTCTGATAAGGCCAGCACAGGGTGCTTAGGATGCGTCACAATAGGAAGTTGACTAACATTCATCTTTGAAATCAACATGTTTTACAGGAAAAACAGTTACTAAATTATAATCATAAAATGTAATGAAAAGGAGCCCAGACACCTTCATTTTCAGAAGAAACTGTTTTAAGCTAGACTTTCCACATAACCTACACTTGTGTGGACTTTCTTGGATATATTTGTTTAAGCCAGACCAATTTTATTTCTTGTTTTACGGATTTTGGTCCCCAGGAAACCTAAAGGCAGGATGGAAAAAATATAAAAATAAAAATCACCAGTCAAAGTAATATTTCTTTTAAATATTAAAAGTATTTTACTACTGGCAATTTATGAAGTTTATATGGGGCAAGATATAATCTGAAAAAAATTTCTTGTAAGTTTACCTTTTTTGGCCAATAAAAACATCAGAATTTTATGGTTTTATTCTTATTCTTGAAAAAAATGACCAGCGGATCCGTAAAAGAAGAAATAAAATTGGTGTGGCCTTAAGGGTCTGAATGACAGACTAAGCCCCCCACCCCCACCCCAATGTCTGTATCCAGGAACCCCCGAACGACCCTATCCTAACTCCTTCCGATGACTGGATTGCATTGAATTGGCATAATGGGCTCTTACTGACAAAACCTGCAAATAAATAACATAAATAATGATTTGATATAGAAATCTTTCAATGTTTCATCACAAGGCATTGTCACTACATGATATGGTACGTGCCTAAGTAGGAGGAAGTCAACTCCACACAGCACAAACTGTTCCTCTTGGTAATACACCATGGAACTGAATCAATATGACCGACACGTCAAATTGATGGCAAATTATCACAAAAACACTCACCACAACCATTAGAAGCCCGACTGCTAAACAGATAATTCCCAATTTCGTCATGACTAAAACCTGAAACAGATGTAAAGATGTTTAATTCAGAGTGACTCAGTCAGTGGTTAGGAGAGCATGTGAGTTTAGCTTGGCACTGATTTAATAAAAAATTCAGCTATCATTTTGTTTGGTGGGGGAGGAGTATACAAAGTTATAGATAAGGTCCTGAAAATTACTGGCAGAAAACACCAGCAGAAACAGCTCCAGGTTACCATGTGACCATGTCCATCTAACTTTGAGAAACACTGAATGACCAGTTTCCCTGGACGAGTCTATGAACGTTTGAGTTAATTAAATTACGACAGGTACATGTATGAATGCAGGGCTTGACCTCATCAAGCAGAGTCCCTCCCTTGTCAACCTGCCCCCAAGCATAGCCCCTACCCCAGCCGACCCTCCCAGTCCTTTCAGGAAATGTAACCTACGGTGCAACCATAGCTACTAACTATTTTGTGCCAGGCAAAACAGGTTGCACCTGCTGCTTAATTTAAAATTATACACAAAGAAAAAAGTTCAGCACCCCCTGATATTTTTCATGAATTTTTCCCCCCATTATTTGAAATAGTGATACAAGGTATAATTATGGGAAGAGTAGAGTTTGCGTGAAACGATATAACCAGTGATGCTTTACAATCCCACTCGTGTGGATTGTGGCATATGTCGAAATAACCCACCTCGGCCTAACTGGGCGTTCAGTGGGATGCGTAATACGATATCCAGAGAAGCATGTTTACTCGTAAAATCGGGCAAAACTTAGATAAAATACGAATAGCTGCTGAAAATAGATCAGACTATAGATGGCAATTAGGTCGCTCAGCCAGGTATGACGACGGACCGTCTCATCTATTGATTAACATATTATGTTTCTTTCTTTCATATAGTTAATGTTGAGATATGTAAAAGAGTATGATACCCCAAAACCATAGAAACGCATTGTAGTATATAGGTGGCATGACCACCTGAAGATTGACAGGACTGGATATTATTTGTAAATTGTTATGACGTGCCGTGTACCTCCCCAGTATAATTGCCCTAAAGGATTATCTTATCCTAGCTGATATCTCTATCCCCAAGCCCGACCCCAGGTTTTGCTTTTCTGACGGCCCCTCCCATCTGTTTCTTTTTATAGTGACAGTGAGAGTGCATGGTAGCTACATCCTTAATAGTTTCGGCATAAAAGTTATTATTTGTTACGTCAGCTATCGTTTATAATGAATCTACATCTAATTTCAAATTGGGCATTTAAAAAGTGTCCTTTGTAATACAATATCGTCACACACTAATTTGCATAGAGCCATGGTCTGTTCCAAATAATTTTTTGGAAAAACGCATTGCTCATTTCTACACTAATTTACCCTCCTCAGTAAAGTCCTTTTTCTCCGTTTCCTATCTCTCTACCACCGAGACTGTAGTGAGGCCGAACTTAGTTTAACATATTTCACACTTTCACATATCAACTACATAAATTGTAGAGATAAAAGAGAAAATACAGTTTTTTTCTATTTCCAACAGTACTATAGGAATCAGATTATTGGTATGCATACCGCAGGAATGTCCTTTAAGGTGATTGGACGAAATCTGGGCTACCATTACACCGTTGTTAGCTGTTTAGTCCGGAAACATGGGTGGACCAGAAGTGCAATGGACCGTCCAAGGTCTGGAAGGCCTCCTGCCACTACATCGCGTGAAGACAGACAACTGATACCACATGCACGCCGAGAACCCTTCAGTACAAGTCATCAGCTGGAAAGACTGTGGGTACCCAATCGACCCATCAGCACCAGAACAGTCAGAAGTCGTCTCAAAGCGGCAGGATTGACGGCCAGAAGTCATTAAACGTCCCTTGACAGACCATCATAAACGTGCACGTTTGACATGGTGCTTGGCCAGACGACACTGGAATCTGAGGACCTGAAGGAAAATCCATTGGTCGGACGAAAGTCGCTTCTTACTTCATGTTACTGATGGACGTACAGGTGTTTGGAAGCATAAGAACAGAGGTTATACCCCCAGGGTGCCGTTGTACAAAGCGATCTTAGCACTAAGGTGGCCGTAACTCACATACCTTAACATAGACTTAAGGTAGTCGTAGTGCTAAGGTGGCCGTAACTCACATACCTTAACATAGACTTAAGGTAGTCGTAATGCTAAGGTGACCGTAACACACATACCTTAACATAGGCTTAAGGTAGTCGTAGTGCTAAGGTTGTTTTGTACAACGGCACCCAGGAACATTCTGTCAACTGTTGCCTATGGAGGAGTATCTGTCATGGTGTGGGGATGCCTCTCTCACGATTGCAAGCTGGATTTGGTCACCATTCGGGGCAACTTAACGAGAGCTCAATGCATCCGGGACGTCCTACAGCCAGTCGTACCTCATTTCGATAACCATCCACTTGCTACACGACCTCAGGACATGGACGATAATGCCAGGCCTCAGTCATGTGCCCTAGTGGATTACATGAAGACCAATGCAGTGGCCAGCGTTAAGCCCAGATCTGAACCCTCTGGAGCATGTGTGGGACATAGGGCAGCGAATCCAGGCAGGGAACCCTCCAGTACAGAATTTACATCCGTTGGAGGCAGCTCTGCATGCTGAGTGGTTGTTATTGACCCGAGAACAGATCCGACGTCTGACTGGAGGCATGAGACGTAGGGTGGAATGTGTCATCCGAGTATGTGGCAGATCCACCCGGTACTGATTAGTCTCATTTTCATGTGACAATATCAATGTCAACACAGTTTCATTGACTTGCACCTCCATGCTTTTGGGGGTTTTGTTTCGGGGTAAAAACAGTATCTGTGATAACATGACGTAATCGCTATTAAATTCTAACCACAGCTCACAGATGGCTGTTCTATCAGATGGCATTTGATTGATTTTGTACATGACATTTGGGGGGGGGGGGGGAGAAAGTTATTTTGTACATAAATTTTAGTGGGGGAAAGTCACATTGTACATGCTTCTCCATAAAAATCATCATCACACCCCCAAGCCTTAAATAATGAACGGTCCCTAATTGCAAAAAAAACACAAATATTTTGCACAGTCACATGAAATCGACAGACCAACTGATGATTTGTCTCACGAGGGGAACACTTGCTTTTAGAACAGCCAGGTGCACAGTGAGCCAGTCCAGCCAGGTAATCAACAAGCATGTGTAATGAAATTTCTATTTCACATACTTACATGTGCAACTCGCACCTGGCTGTTCTACCAGCAAGTGCCCCCCACCCCATCCCCTGCATGGTCATGTTAAACTGCGTCTGCCGGCAGATCATATCAGTGAGTGAGTGAGATTAGTTTTACGCCGCACTCATAAATATTCCAGCTATATGGCGGCCGTCTGTAAATAATCGAATCTGGACCAGACAATCCAGTGATCAACAGCATGAGCATCGATCTGCGCAATCGGGAACCGATGACAAGTTTGATAACACCACCGCAAGATCTACCTTTTCATTAGTAATTAATTCAGATATCTTACTGCATCTGTGGAACGGCATGGACACTGACAGAATGTTAAGTGACACTGCCACACACCTCAAAAACGTAAAGTTTAGAACTATCACAAAGCGTTGTAAACACCTTTCCAGTTTTGTAAAATACTAAGATTAACAAGAAAGAAAGCAGTTTTAGAACTATAGATCTAACACTCAAGCATAACCAGCATCAATGGTGGATCAGAAAAGATCGGCGATAAGTCATTTTTCACACCTCAAATACACCCTAACAAAACAAAATTAAATTATAAAACTATCACTATTACTTGAAAACACCTTTCAACTAAAGGTATATTTCCCTTCTAAAAATTAAACGAATGTGAAAGAAGTTTTTAGCTATATAGATATCTAGATCCTAATAGACGGATCCATTCCCGGCCGATAAGCCCCGCCCACTTCGTTTTTGACGTTAGGGGGGGGGACAACCACGGACTAATCACAATGGCGTCACTGCCTGCGATACGTACGTGATTGCGAACGTTGTTGATGAATTCTGCTTGTAGTACGTTGGTATCCGTCGTTTGTGAATAATATTTAAAGAGGAATGTTATATGTACTTTTTAATTTATTTGAGTTGACAGATTGTAATTGGTGAGTGAGAATGATTTGCATGCTCAATGAAAAATCGTCTCGGCCAGCTGCTGAGTGAGTAAGAAGCGTGTTTCCTTTCGAACCAAATAACATGTCTGGCAATTCACGTCCGTCTAAGATGTTAGCAGGGAAAGGGTAACTGAAGTAAGTTGTTTGGGTTTTTTCCAAAATTCCCATCGTAATATTACAAAAACCGTGAACACAGCCACATGTTCAACTTTTTCAAGTTGGAGATCGTTTCGGAGTCTATAAATAGATGTCAAAACTGCGTGTGGCGCCTTTATTTATTTATACGTTGTTCAAATTTAGTTAAATCAATAATGTGAAAACATGGGTTTCTACCTTTTAATGAACAAAGCAGAAAAATATGTCCCGTCTACTACTTCGTCCACCTTATTTGTCTATATTTGTAAACAAAATAAATCACTGCATATCCTATTTGATCTCATTTGGGAACCTGGCAAAAGGTTATTGGGCTTGTAAACAGTAGATCTATAAGTTTCCATGGACGTATCTGGACATACCAAGAAGCAATATTCAGCAGCTAATCTGCAGCAGTTCTCAGTATAATTTCTCTTCAAAATCTGTACACCATCCTAAAATGACACTGAATATAAGGAAATCCATTTTTAAATCATCCTTTCCAATATATTTTTCTATGTGTACTTTGTTGTGGTATCATAATATACAAACTTCCACAATACTGGGCTTCATGAACTGCCAGCATTTACGTACAGTTATGTCACACCACAATAACACAAAGATCCAACATATAGTCTTCACCTGTACACTGACCCATCTTCCAGAAATAGGAAACCTGTGATGCAAAATCTTTGAACTGAGGATGCACAGTTATCCAAACAATTAACTAGCATTGAAATAGAATGTTATACAAAATACATATATACTGCTTTTTCTTCATAGATATTTAACTGCTAACTACTAATGTAAATAAGGTGTAAAGAATATATCCTAAGTTCAAAGCTTTTCGTCAATAAAATTACATATTGTCATTATTGCTTCTTAAACAATGATAATCTTTGTTTTATTAGATCTGAGACCATATCCCTTAGGGGCATAACACTAATTTTGATCTATTTCCTTTTCTGAGATACTTACTACTGTCATCAAAAATATATTTAAGTTGTTTCTAAATTGGTAACAAAATAAAGGTTTAGGAAAACACATGAAAATGTCCTGAAGCTTTCACGTCCTTCAAACCAGTGTGAAATTTAATATGAAACTCATTTTCAGAATAACCATCAACAAACCTAAACAATTTGTCCAAAACCAACATCTTAATAAACACTACTTTGGCTCAAATGTCTTCAAATAATGGTAACCTCCTCAAAAGCTGATGATTTCTAAGAAGTTTTACATCAAATCTGGGATAAATATATGTTAAAATATTCATTCCAGTTACATGACTAGTCAACTGAAAATTTTGTAAGTTATTCTGTTCCAAGACTGAATAATGCCTGACCAGGGTGTGACCTTTATTTTTTTTCAAATTCTCTGAATGTTGAAATTTATTATCATGAGCTTGATACTAGTAATCATTTTCAGAATAATCTTTTTAGTAAATATATTATTTAAAAATCCCAAAGATATCTTACAGCAGGAGCCAACAAACTAAGTTAATTAGTAGCAAGTGATTGTTCTGCCAGGGTACGTATTTAGTGTTTGTTTGCCTAGCTCTGCCTTAAAATCACATGAAACTGATATGTCAGTCAATTAAGTAGTTATTTATAATTGATTATGTTATTATTTATTTTATTAACTTTCCACGTTTACTTAAGGACGCAAGATTCTAAAAACATACCTTGCTATCATTTCCAGTGAATTATAATTAAAATGACAGTTATGTTATTACTCCTAAAATGTACCAGTGCACCTCCCCTACATGTTAAAAAATTATGTTGTAACAAAAATTCAAATGAAATAATGTCCTCATAGTTAAGAAATACACTTTTATTTCACTCCGTCCAATATTCCAGAAAGTCACTATTCTTCTCACATAGTTTTCATCTCTGATCCACATGGAGTAACGTAATTCAATTCAAGGTCCCATCTCTTTATAGAAATTCTGAAATATTTATGGCTTGGTTTTATAGACAATCATTTGAATTAATTTTGTTATTTGGATGTTGTCTGATAGGCAACTGCTGACACTGACTGTGTCCGTTTGAATATAAAAAATATTATTCCTGGAATATTTTCAATAATAACAGACACTGTACTGTAGGCTTTCAGATTGAGTTTTTGAAACTTTAAAACATCCTATAATGTGTGACAAATTTAAGAATGTCTAAGGGCGATGATAACAACATCCACCACATTGTTCTGTAATGTAACAATTTCTTCGACCGTAACCGAAATCAGATCGCTGTCAGATTTGCTTACATTGTGTTACGGCTTTCTCGCCCGTCTCATTTCAGCTTTATGGTGTACCAACTCAGTGCCCAGTATTGACAAAAAACGTTAAGCAAAAACAATTTTGTAGTTACAAGAATTGCCAGTGTTCATAACACTTGTAAAATCTTCAACTGCTTTTTGTTGTCATCTATTGTTAATGATTTTGCAAATGTGCGAAAGTGTGTAAATTCGTGCAAATTCTCACCCTCAAGCAGACCGTAGGTTTCGTGAGCGATGGTACAGGCATTTCATTGATCGTGAGGCCTATCGCGCTCCTTGGTCCGCCTCAAATCTTTTGTCTTGGCCGTAATGGTCGTGTTAAAGGTACACATCAAATCGCAGCAATATGTAAGAGATATAGCGAGTGTGAATGGCATAATACGAAGCACATCGCTTCCGAGGCATCGTTTGACCCCGGAAATAAGTGTGACAAGTCCACAGAGCGCGCCCGGCCTGCTGATTGGCCAAAATTGGACGCATTGACAGACTGGATCGGTCTATTATTGATTCTTTCTTCGGTGTGTACCGAGAACAGAAGCCAGGAGCTACGACATGCCGACTTGAAACTTTACTACAAATCTACTGTACTAATACCGACACTAATAACAATTATTTGACTTAAAATGAAGTGACAGAATAGGTAACTTATCTTCTACATGTAGATTTTCAGTTGTCACAACACTCAGCGTATGTAATCAGCTGTTGAAATAAACCAAGCTCAATCTTAAAAACTACGCTGTCGCCATATTCAAGGAAATTGGCTACACTGGTCACGACACGAGCCGAGGCTTTCCCTGGTGGTACATGCTAAAATCAGTTTCTAAATGCTTAAATCAAGCCCACACGCACAAACACATCCACTCCAAACCAAACCAAGTTGTACTGAAAAACAAACAGGAAAATAAGATCTCGCACTTATCCCGGTGTCTGGGGGGTTTCGACGATGTAAGACAAAAACGTATTTTTCATCTGTAATATCCTTTAAAGTTTGTATTTTACTAACCTTGAGTGATAAATGATATGTTCATCTATTTCACACAAAAATATCAAGTGTTCCCTACAAAAATAGCGTTGATGACATCGTATCGACGAAACTGTTGCCGCTCGTAACATTCGATATTTTGTATGGGTTTTCGACGATGAGCCATACTTTTTGCTCCGCTCTGCGAGGGAGTGTTGTGATCACGTGGCTTCCTATTGATATATTGCCTGTCACCAGCAGACGACTGATCTAACTGAATTTTCGCTTGCTATGTTTTGTTATAAAGGCAACTGATTTTGCATCTAAAGTGGTATTAACGATCTCGGGTAAATAATATTGATGTTTGTTTGCTTTTTATATAACTTTACTTCCCGATTTCCATTGTCAATAAAACTTCTCACGACAGCGAATGGGCACCCGCCCTACCAGTGAAACTGTTTGTGCACACCGATCGCACACGTACTCCCGATATAGCGCGTGCAATGCAATCGTCGAACAGAACGTCGAATTCAGCTAGTGTTGAGAATATTAAAGAACGTTGGAACTTACAACACCCGGGTCGTTCTTTGTAGTGTTGGTTTACATAGGTAAACAACGCACTTTAAACACCCTACAGTCCGGTTGATTTCATTCAATGATCACTAGCACAAAATCTAATAATTGTAACAAAACCAAATTTTGCACAATCACATGAAATCAACAGATCAACTGATGATTTGTCTCATAATATTGAACACCCGAATAGAAGAATTGTTTAACAACGATCATTATTTTGTTGTCACATTTCGCTCGCTGGTAGAACAGCCAGATAACGCAATAAGCGCGTGTGATGAAATTTCAATTTCACATGTGCAACTCGCACCCCAGACTCTTCTACGAGGAAGAAGTCCCATGTCGCATGTCACGCTCAACTGCGTCCATAGGTACATCGTTTCGGGCAGATTATTAGTCCAAGGTGGCACTGTTGGACAGCCGGGCTAAGCCATGAGCCATGGCCTGTTTACCCAACATGCATCCTTACCTGGACACCAACATACTGCCACACACTGAAAATTCTGAACGTCCCGCATAATACCTGTGTCACACTGACCCTTTACTTGGCTGTTCAACTAGCTGTGGTCTAGCATTCGTGAAACCACCTGGAGTAAAAACTAATGGGGAACTTGACATCCATACGACCACCCCGCCGCCCACACGCACAAACACATCTACCACAAGCCCAACCAAGCGGTTAGTGGGGGTTAATACAGAGATGAGCTTGCCCTGTCACTTACCTGTTCCATCAACTGTCCGGGTCGGGATGGCCTAAAAGTCGGGCCAAGAAAAGTCGGGCCGGGCCACCGGGTAGTACTAAAAATGGATTGCAGAATATTAAAACGAAACCTGCACATTTGGGTCGATACACTTCCTGCCTTCACAAATGCATAGTTTGATTGAAAATGTATAGTTAATGGTGAAAAAAACACACAACAACAATGACTACATACCGAGATTCCCGTTGAAAAGACACTGTCTTGTTGTTATGTCTTTTCCTTGATATGTCTATGGGGGAAGGTTGCTTACTTCTCTTAGTGTGTGACATCCGGGGGTCCTGGGCAGGAAGTGACAGTGTTTTGACTGCTTTTCTTTCCTTAATTAAGATATTAGGGTTCCCTAATTAACCTTTATTGTCTCAGGCTGAATCAGCACAGGATGTTTATGTTAAAGAGACGTGGATATCGGCGAGTGTCAATGGGCAAATATGACATGATTTTGTATATTAAAAGAAACATTTGAAATCACAAAATTTTGTAATATGTTATAAAGGATCAAACAAAGTATGCATTCACAAACACAAAAATTCTTATGTGTTTTCATTGTAAACAATACCAGCCCAAATCAAATAGCCAGCGCGTATGCATATGCTTATATTGGTGACCGGACAAAATCCACCCGGACAAACCACCCCGAAATTGCCACCCCGGACAAAATCCACCTCTTAACAAAAAATGGACAAAATCCACCCTTCTCAAATTGCTATTGTTAAAAGTTTTAGTGTGTCCTGATCTTTGATCAAGTTGTTTTGCTCAAGCATTTCAAGCATTGTTTTGATAGCATTTTCGTTTTCCTAATTGGCTGTTGTTCCTAGATGTTGTTTCAAACATTAAAGGTTTCTTCATTTGTCACATTTTGATCACTATTTAATCCTCTTTCATGTATCATTAAGTAGTCTCACACTTTGATCATTACGTAATCCCCTTAAAGAATTGAGATGTTTTTGCAAGCCTGATTGGAGCCCTTTATACTAATGTTTTGATAGAACATACTTTTTTAATGAGTTTGAGAAGAAAGAGAGCAAGTCAACAATTAGGTGGGAGTGGAAGTGTTCCCTGTTGTCATATTTATATATGTATTGATGCATGAATGATTAATAAATGTGAACTGTGAAAATGTGCAATTGTCATATTTATATATGCAAAAATGAGCTTACATATGTATTTTGTTTTTTTTTGTTATCGATTATGAATGACTGATATGAATAAAATTCATTTCTGTCACTAAATATGTCATTTTTTTTTTCTTAGGGTGGAATTTATTAGGGGTGGATTTTGTCCGGGTGGATTTTGTCCTAGGTTGCAATTTTGGGGTGGATTTTGTCCGGGTGGATTTTGTCCGGGTGGATTTTGTCCAGGTGGATTTTGTCCTGGATTCGCTTATATTTACTAATACACATGAAACACAAAATGGTATTATATCTACCTAAATACCACTTCAACAAGTAAAGTAAAAGTGAAGCCTCTTTCTCTCTCCATTCCAAACTATTTAGGAAAATAAAGTCCTCGGAAAACAAAATCCGCAATCAAACGTGTTCTCCGTACATGTTCCAGAGTTAAAACATTAATGAATACTAGTACCGATACAAATGGCAGGCAGAAGCTATTCGTGATATTATTTACACAAATAATTAACTTAATAAATATCAGAAGATATTACACCCAATTATATGACATGTTTGAAAGAGGTGGTTTTTTTAGTGGTTCAGAATACAGGATGTTCTCCGTACAGTTTCCACAGTATAAACATCAATTCATACTTGTACAGATATAGATAGCCGGCTGAAGCTATTCATGACATGATTTGAACATAAAAGTAATTTAATAAATATCAGAAGGTATCAGCTAAAATGACTTGCCGTATGAGATGTTATGGTTATATAATTTGAACATACGAAAGTATGAAAACACATCCACGGCAATGACACTGTTGCCCAGCTCAGGCTCGGGAGAACATTGTTTTCACTGTGAGAGCTTTGCCAAAGGTCAATTCAAACGTTTCTGATAATCCTGTTTTCCCGAACACGCATACAGACAATAGAAGTATTACAGAGAGACGTGGGAGAAGTATGTTTTCATTAAATCCACAGTGTCTAGCCTAACTGGCTGGGCAGTAGCAGCCTATTTTCAAATCATCTGATCTTTACATGTTGATAACATTACAAGGTGATATGTACGTAGATAAAATACTAATCTATGGATATAAACACATTTCAAGATACATGTGAGAGGTTTAAGGTGTTTTTGACAGCCCGGGCCAAGTCGGGCTGAACAGAGATTAAACACTTTTGATTGAGGCCATGTTGAAAAATGAGAGACAAGGGCTTCACTTTAACGGAGCAGTTTACTTAACATATGGCATTTTATAAGATTACAAAGCGATATTTAGGTAGATATCATACCAGTCTATCGAATTAACACAATTCAAGATACGTTTGTTACGTTTAAGTTGCTTTTGACGGTTCGAGCCAAGCCGGGCGGAAAATTGTGGCCGAGGTAATGTTGAGAGTGTGGGGAAGAGATCGTATCATTTAAATGTGGGCATGCTTTAAATACGATGAATAGTGAATTTATGGGGTGGTGTATGTGATTGGATATAAATGTAAAAACATTTTCGGGCCGACGGAAATGTGCATCGGAATTGGCTGAAGTATTTATACGTTTTAAATCCGTTTCGTTTAACGATTCCACTTTTAGACGTAACCTCGGTCAGCCAGTTCAGTCTTCCTGGGTTTTAGCCGATTTACTCGTAATAAAGTTATTATGGTACGCGTTTGTTGCTTCCGATTGATCATTATTATCATGAGTGTATGTTGCATTGATTAATTGTAGGCATGGTTTTCGTTAATGGGTCTATTAGCCAAAAAAAGATTTGGACCGGCCCGGCCCGACTTTTAGGCCATCCCGTCTGGGTCACCTGGGTGCAATCTGGGTCTTAATATAAGCGCGCGCAAACCGAGCCGGGAACTACATGTACTTTAACATGTAATGCTCTGATTGTCGGAGACAGGTCGTGTGGATCATTCTAGAAGGCACGCTCCGGCACAGCGATGGGACTCTGGGTAGGAGAGTGTCTAGGAGGTTATTACGGAAAGGGGCGGGGTGGCTTTATGTCACCGAGTTTTGCGTATCGAGCAAGTCGATATTTCCCTTCTAAAAATTAAACGAATATGTGAAAGAAGTGTTTAGCGATATAATTTAGTCTTTCTTCGCTGTGTACTGAGAATTGGTATAACCAAGGATACTGTACAACAGGGATAGGTCACTCGCTTGCTTTCTTTACCATTTGTACTTATTAACGTGTGCCTCGTCATGCTCCAACGCACACAGTGACTTGCTTCGAACCCAGCGCAACTTCGGCTGTGTTTAACAGTACTTCAGCCAGTGTATTGTGTCAGTCGGAATTTTACAATGAATGAATGAATGAATGAATTAAGAGCAAGAATTATATGTGAATGAATGAAAGAAATAAAGAAAAAGAACAAAAGAAACAAACACATATGTGAATGAATGAAAGAATAAAAGATACACCATGGCCATCCCTCCCCAAACATGTTAAAGAACGCAAAACTATCGGTAGAACACATGTGTTAACATCAGCTGTCCTTTTTTTTAAAAAATCTACTTTGAGACATTTTTTTACATTAGTAACTAATTCAGATATCTTATTGCATGTGTGGAATGGCATGGACATTGACAGAATGTTAAGTGACACTGTCACACACCCCTCAAAAACAGAAAGTTTAGAATTACCACAAAGCGTTGTAAACACCTTTCCAGTTTTGTCAAATACTAAGATCAACAAGAAAGAAAGAAGTTTTAGAACTATAACACTCAAGCATTACAAGCACCATTGGCGTATCAGAACAGATCGGTGATATGTCATATTTTTCACACACCTCAAATACACGGTAACAAAAAAAATTAAATTATAAAACTATCACTATTACTTGCAAACACCTTTCACCTGATGGTATATTCCCCTCATAAAAATTAAAGGTGTATGTGAAAGATGTTTTAGAACACTAACTAGAAACACTCAAACAACGCCCTGTAGTATTTCAATGGCAGATCGGCGATAGGTCATTTTTCACACACGTCAAATACACCCCAACAATTTTTTTTAGTTATAAAACTATCACTATTACTTGCAAACACCTTTCAACTAAAGGTTTATTTCCCTTCTAAAAATTAAACGAATATCAGAAAGAACTTTTTAGCGATATAATTTAGTCTTTCTTCGCTGTGTACTGAGAATTGGTATAACCAGGGATACTCTACAACATGCCGACTTGAAACTTTACTACAAATCTACTGTACTAATACTGGCACTAATAACAATTATTTGACTTACAATAAAGTGACAGAATAGGTAACTTATCTTCTACGTGTAGGTTTTCAGTTGTCACAACACTCAGCGAATGTAATCAGCTGTTGAAAATAAACCAAGCTCAATCTTAAAAACTACGCTGTCGCCATATTGGCTACACTGGTCACGAGACTAGCCGAGGAATAGCTGAGGGGCTTTTCGAGGAGTGACCACTCCCCGTTATATATAGTCCGTTTGGCTCAAAAGCGGACCGATGAATTGCAATCTAACTCGAAAACTAATAAACATATAATACTCAATGAAACGCTGATCATAATCAAAACATCAGACCAACTCGGTGATTTGTTTGCAGAATTTATGTTCTAAAATTAAAAAAGTTGTGTTACAAACTATCATTAAAATTTTGACAGTTCACTATTTGTTACGAGGGAGGAGTGCAGAGAAAGGGACAGCCAGGTGTTAGAGAAGCACGTGCACAAGTGCCGACAACGTTATTGATTTATTAACTTGTGCTGTGCCGCCTCCATCCTTTCTCGCACACCTGGCTGTCCCTTTCTCTGCACTCGTCCCTCGTAACATAGCAGGGATACTCTACAACACCTTATATAGTCTCCCTACATCTAGTGAATTGTGTCGATATTTTAATGATAGTTTGTTAAACAACTTTTTTTAATTTTAGAACATAAATTCTGCAAACAAATTACCGAGTTGGTCTGATGTTTTGATAATGATCAACAGGAAAATAAGATCTCACATTTACCTGTTCCATCAATTCGCCGCCAACTCCTGTTAATTCCGGGACCAACTCGTGTTATTCCATGGCGACTGGAATTTAAACGAGCGATAACTCTACTGCAGTACTCCTGTGGTATCCGGTGATTCCAGTGCTATTGAAGCACTCGTATATTGAATTTGTTTTCGTTATTTTAAAGAATTAAACCCCTAAAACACAAACTAAAAGAAGGGGAAATATTTGTAGAACACACATTCTAACGTAAGTATTACCAGCTGTTCACCTTATATTTCCAAATGTATATTTCTAAATAGGGTTTAAGAATCACAAATGGGATTTGTTTTATTGTATATCCAAATAAAATACTCTTTTTTCAGCTACATTAACTCCTATAACAGATGCTGAAAAATGACTTTCAAATATTTCTCAAATGAACATTCGTGTAACATTGCTGCCACACCCGTTGTGGAATTTTGAAATGAATGTGGTGGGAAAAAAATATGAATAATCCCCCCAAAAGTCAGAGTGAAATATCCCCAGAGATGTGAAATATAATGTTAAAAATTAAAGTTGATTAGTAATATATCAAGATATTGTTTTCAAACTCGTCGCGATTTATATATAATTATATTTACCTAATTTTATGAAAGGTATTGAAAATCAAAATGAAATTCTAGTTATGGTAAGGTAGATATGGTTTCATCTTGAAAAGCCCCCCACCCCGTTCCTACGCCCCTGCGCCCAGGACGGGTTATTTTCAACATGGACTGCCAGATTCTCAACTCCACCTGCCAGACGGTCGAGTTAAAATTAAGACATGTGTACGAAGATATTCATCATATATCAGAACAATACATCATTATCAGTTCACTCGTAAAAATAAAGTAACTAAGTAAATTAGTATTTTTTGTGGGCAGGTAACTTTTGGTCAGGGATAGCCAGTTTTATATCTAACCAGTCTTGTGGTCTGGCTAAAATCTTTGGGTGTTTCATACCCAGGCATTAGGTAGCACAATTCTGTTAGCTATGTTCGTACTCCCAATGTGACGATATATATTTTTCATGATTTTTGTAAAGAATGACATAATGCCATAATGCCATAATGCCATAAACGATTTAAGTACTGGGGATTATTTTTATCCAAGCACCGCAATCATTACTGATTGGTTTGTCCTATTTCATCGAGCATCGAGACGAGTCTTCTTGGAGGTTACGGAAATGAGCGAGTGGTGACGAATGGCAATCTAGATTAACACGAAGCAGATTGTGCCTAGTGTGTCTATTGTCAGATTCATTTACAGCCACCGTCGAATGGCAGAAATTCTGCTGTTCAGCCTTATGCAAAAATACTTCCATTTTTAGGCAAATTTGGTGAATGGCGAGTGCTACGGATAGGGCAGGACACGCTTAGATCTACTAGTTTCTCAAACACCTGGTGTCAGTGTTAGGGGTGGGTATTGCAAGCAATTTTCATTTTGCGATATATTGCGATGCGAAAGCATATATTGCGATATGCATTGGATTTTATTGCAAGAAGTTCTTTTTGACAAAAACTGCTTATAATCGAGTTAATGCTTGATATACAAAGTAAACAAACAAAATCACTCTGCTTTATTCAGCTTTAATAAAGACGTTTAATCATGACAAAATAAAAATGTAAATACTATTTGGTACAAATGGAACAAGGGAAAGAACAGTCAAACATCCACACAGTCACGTGGTTACTAGCTTGAACTACTTTCTCCACTCTCAGAAAAAAGTCCCGAGATTTTAGACAGCTACTTGACTTGGTCAGAACATATCAGATCACTGGTCATTAATCAGTAAATATTTAAAACATTCAGATCCAAAACAATGCGAAACACTTGAACAAAAATTTAGAACACAACTTCAAAACCGAACTTAACAATCCACTTAAATGTAATTTTCTCCACGATCATTCCACCACCTTTACCGCAACTGCCACAATCAACATCACCATCATCGCCACACCATTACTAAAATCATCATCATCAATCATCACCATCATCATCACTACCACAATCATCACCACGCCATTGCCACAAACATGCATTTCCAAATACCGGTTTTCGATCAGCGTATCGCAATACGTATAGTTTTCATGTCAGAACCGGTAAATACCGGTAAATAACGGCAAACCGGTTATATTGCGCAACCCTAGGACTCATTACTAGTATTTAGTGATCAATTCATATAATATTCACTTTTTGTCCTTTATACCAAACGGAAATTGTTTCTGAAAGAAAACTAGGTATAGGTTTGCGCTATGTTCTATATTTAATCAGACGTCAGAAGCTTTGGAAGCCTGCAAGCTGATAATGTCTTCGTTTCCACGTTTCGTTCGTGTAACGCACCCTTGCACGGATCCATTCGCCCCAAACATACGCTTGAGATAATTATTTTAGAGTATACAGGGAAAATGGAAAGAGGTCTTTTTACGTGATTTACTGTAAGATTTAGATTAGATACTGTTTTATTGATCTTAACACATTTCATGATAACTATACATGTATGTAGTTTTGCAATGAATGGAGTGGGAAGGAATACTCGATCGACAGACTTGTTTTAATTTCCTTTACTTGCTTTTGTACACTTAGTGCCGTATATTGTGTAATCACTTTATCTAGAAAATATTTAGATACAGCTATGACTGACATATGGAAATATTTTATAATGGTTCCAACTCTCGTGTTTCAGATCTTAATTCGTTTAACGATTTCACTTTTGTATGCCTCTCACCTTTTCCATTTCTAGCTATTTATTAATAATAAATAGCGTTTTACACTTGTAATAATCTATTATGCCACGTCAATGGCATATAAGGTATTCCGTAATTAATCACATATAAAGGATATTTAATTATGTCCTTATATAGCTCAACTTTGGGGGCATTCGTGACCCTAACGTGTTATTCCGGGACAAGCCGAATAGCGACTCGTGCCCCTCTCGAAGGATTTCATATTGGCGAATGAACATCAGAACTTCTTTAAATAAGAACGATACCTATGCCTGTTTGATACCAATTTTTCTTAACATCATTTACATTTACATTGCTAGGTTGTTCTGGGGTTTTTTTCTTATCTATTTTAAAGAATTAAACCTCTTTGATACAACTAAAAGGAGAAAAACATTTTTGAAAGACATATTCTTATGTAATTATTACCAGCTGTTCACCTTATATTTCCAATTTTCTAGGGGCTTCCCCAGAATACAAACTCTCTGCCTGAAAATGTTATGATTTTATTAAGAAAGTTTACACTTGCCACTTTTTAGAGAAAACGCAGAACTTCGTGGATCAGAATGTTTGTTTATAAATTGCTTTTTCTTACATAGTTATATTTTCCAGCTTGATAATGCTGAAAGAACCAACACTTAAAGGTTGCAAAATAAAACACCAGCGGGTGATAGTACTATGTTTTCTTACTTACCTCTCCTACATAAAAAATGTCATTGTCTGGTTTGTTACTTTTATGTAACGGGGATGACTCTTTCACAACGACAACTCCGTTGAGGCTGCAAGTTGCTTGTTTATTGCTGTAGTTTGTATAAATAGTACAAGTCTGAAACAATGTATATGAATATATAACACTCCATTAAAATACCTATTTTATAGGGCTGCGCAATATAACCGGTTTACCGGTATTTACCGGTTCAGACATGAAAGCGATACGTATTGCGAT